GTAATCTTTCTGTGTAAAAAATCCATAAACATGTCTTTTACAAGATAGACAAATCTGCCTTGGTCTAGTGGGCAAATAATCCATGTGTTGAAAAGACTCTAAATATGCATTCACAAGATAAGACAGAACTGTTACAGTCTGTTAGGTTCACTGGAAGCTGTTTTTAAAAAGGCTTTAAATAGTTATGTTGAACTTATTGACAGACTACCAAGAAAAATGAAGCCAAAGATGGTTTGAGCAAATCTGGAAATACCTAATTTTGCAGCTAACTCCACTGCAAAGTGCAGTAATTAATGAAGACTTTATTAAAATAGGACACTTTGCATGCTGTGTACGTTACATATGCAGTTAGCCAGTAGGTCTGAGCAGTTGGAAGAGCCATTATAGCATTCAGCTTCCCACTGCTTTATTTTCACCTTGACAAAGTGCAATCATGGAAGGCAGAACTGATGCAAGACAGTTTGCTGCTTAAGGTGAACATAAGGTAAAACCTTCCTTTCCTTGCACCTACAGAAGCCAACCAGGATGAAGCAAATCTTCATTCAATGCCAGCACAGGGATAGCAATCTCCATTGCACCAGAAGGAAGTAAGCTAGGTTAAGAGGGTTTAGGGCAGGCCAACTATTTTCTTGCCCACTAGCGTCAGTTGCCTTGGACAACTACTTCACTTGAACAAGAAGTTGGGAAGGCCTAATGTTGATGTTAGTAAATGCCAGTTTTCTTCAAAGCTTATACATATTCTTCAGACATCTATTCCTATATGTATATTTTGCATCCCTAATATTAGATTTCTATACATAGTTATTGGGCAAATGTGAATCACAAATTGTAGGATGGATAGGGGATGTAGGGGAAATTACGGGTACAGAGTTTCATTGTACTCTAACAGTTCATTTTCTTGTATTTTTATACTGCATGTAAGTAAAAGCTGATTCAGGGGGAAATGGAGATGTCGGAATCAGCTCCCTGAATGAGAAGCAGCCGACTAGGAAACTAGTGAGTGTAGTGAAAGGTTTTGATTTAGGCATTTGGACAAGTGTGGTGTTTGCCTATTATGTGTTGGAGAGTTTAGCAGGAATACCTGAGCAGATTGCTTTTGTAAGTGTTGTGAGCAGATAATGCTGACATTTCTGGGAGAGGGCACAAGATGAGGGACCATATTTCCACAATGATGGCAGGGGGAGATATAATGGGAAATGCCTTCTCTGTGTCTAGGAGGCTGGATCATTGGGCATCTTGGCCTTAGACTACTGCTGGTGAGCTCTAGGTCTGTATTTAGTAAGATATCAACCATCCATGATTTGGTGGTGGATGAGCAAGAAGACCTCAGATACATTATTGAGACCTGGTTGGTGAAATTTGCCCTCCAGGTTAGGGAAGAAGGATGGTGATGATAATTTGATCATAGGCAGTGGCAAGATGTGTTACTCCAGAGTATATTTATAGGAACATGAACTCTAGGGACAATTAAGGCTAATGAGTACTGGATCTTACAGCACAGCTGATGATGGAGTCTCCCATGCTTTCAGTATAAGGAGATTCAACTTTCATTTCCTGGAAGTAGGACCCAGCTGAGTTCATAGTAATCATTTGTCCCAGGGGATGTCAGCTCTGACTAATACATGCTAAACCCAGTGTTTACTTTAGAGCAGATGACTTGTGAGCTGAAGATGGAGAATGTTGCAATCATTTATTTGCTACTGTTGGATCACTTTTTGGTAAAGCTACAGATGGTCAGCACCTTAGACCTATGAGGATGGATGATTGGTTAAGATACTCCACTCCAAGCACCCAGAGAGTTTTCTAAGGGTGTTTGGCGAAGCAGGCAATCACTTCCCTCTCATTCCTGGTTTTCTCAGAATATGGAGATTACCAAAGTGTTAGACCAGATGGCCCACATGTGGCCATGTTCTAGTTGCTGATTCTAGGTTTCTTGGTTTACTGAAATGTTCAGGGAAATGAAACAACTTAGTAGATGCCTAGAACAATTACTCAGTTTTGGTGATAGCTTTAGATGGTTCCACATGAAGGAGTGGATCCTTGATCTGTGAGTCTTCCTGGTGTGATGCGTTTTGCAGGAGCAGCAGGTAGAAGCTGTGGCCTGGGGTTCATTTGCCCACCCTTTCCTGGACCTAGAAGCCCTGATTTCTCATGTCCTTATCACAGCACTTTCAGGTTACTGTAAGATGTCTTTGAAAACTATTTGGAAAGTACAGCTGGTATGGAATATAGCAGCCACACTGCTAGGAGGGAGGAGCTTCTGCTGCTGCAGTGTAACACCAATGCTTGGGTCACAGCACTGGTTGCCAATAGCTTTCCAACCCCAATTCAGATTTCAATTTATAAAGGCCTGTATGGTATGTCCCTGGGTTACCGTAGGAACTGTCTCCTTCAAATAGATTTTGTCTTTCTTGTGTCTTATACAGTTAGCAAGGGAGGAGAAGCATAGGGTCCTGGCCCAATGAAAGATGCGGGGAAGATGAATCCAAAGCAGATTTTCTCTTTGGTGGCCATCAGATGTGTGCTGGCCCATTTGCTATTGTCCTTCTATAAGTTGGCTAAAACAATGTTGTTTAAGCAAGCATTTGAATTTTAGTGGTGTAGCTGGGTTGCCATTTTTGTTTGGGAGTTTATTTGTTCACCTGAGTTTGCAGGTGTTTTTATATTCCCTGCTTCATGAGTTTCATTGTATTCTATTATATTTTATTCTGTAAACTGCCTAGGAAGTATAGGGAGTGTATACATAGATGCAACAAATACTGAACAATGTAGTAAAGCATTTGATCCATCTGAACCATCAACTTCAGCAGAAGTTGGACAGGGACTAGGCACTCTTAAGTTCAGGAGGTTTCTGTAATGGAGTGGATTTACCACCCTAAGCCCAACCCGCCCAAACTGCACTGTCTTAGCTTTCTGCAGAGCCCAATTGCGTGGTGCTGATTTCTACAGTGTTTAATAAATGCTTCACTTGTCTCTTTAAGTTTAGGGTAAACTGAAGAGAAGCCTGGAATAGGAGCTCCTCTTTTCAAAGGCTCAAACACCGTCTTTCTGATCTTAATTGGCCAGATAAATATTCCTTTCTTTGGAACATTTTTCCATGACTGCAAGCCAGATAGCTGCTGCCTGATTTAAAGTCCGTATGAAATACATTTTATCTTAGTTAGTTGGTGAGTTTGCCTTGGGCTACTGAATCATAGCCGACAGTAAATTAATGATTATGATAGTGTGATTCGTTGAGATCGCAGGCTAGTGAAGCTATACCTGCCCATTTACCATTGTCGCAATACTTATGCTAGCTATTATAATAATAATAGTAATATATTATTGTGGATTCATAATAGTTATAAAGGAAGTTGATTGCTGTATTTATCTCTGTTTTTATATACAGTTTAGTTGCATTTTTAATGTATCAGTAATATCCTGATTAAATAGAAAACAGCTTGTTTAGCATTTTTAACTTTATGGTTTGGACTTTTAAATGATTTTTTATAAACTATTACTGCTTTGCAAGCGATTTTATGTACATACACTTTTAAACAACTCAGTAAACTACTAAAATTATATTCACCAAGAATGTAGTTGTTCCCCCCTGCCCTGTCTTTCTAAAACCAGGCTAGGAAAATCTATTTTCTTACCAATGCTGTGCTGAGTTATTCAGAAGTTACAAATAAAATTTCATCCTATGTAAACTCTAGTAAGCCAACAGTGTTTTATTTTATTTTCCTTTGTCCTAAGGGAAGAACTGTAGGCATCTTGGTCTTCTCTAAAGGGAGTGCCATTAAAGGTACTTATTTGCTTATTTATCAAAGATTCAGCTAGTCTATTTGATTTCCAAATATCAACCAAGGTTTCATTACACAGTTTGAAGGTAAGACAAATACTAGAAAGATAAATTGCTTCCCCCCTTTTATTTCCAAGTGCCAAGTATATAAGCTATTTAATGAGAAAGAGTAAAATCATATTTGCACCTTAAATCTATACCAAAAAATATTATATAAAATATCATAAAAGAGGATACTTGCCCCCTTGCACACTGGGTTAAAATAGACTGAATGACAATAAAATAAGGAGGAATTTTAGATTCTGAAATGAAAATCAAATAGAGAGAAAACATTTCTAAAAGTATATTGTTATTTGGACAATACACCACAGCTTTTTTAAACAGCTTACACAGCCACCCTGATATAATAAATACACAATAGATAAAGATATTCCTGGCTCTGCTTGAATGTTCCCATTGTCCTATATTCAGGAAATTTCACACAAAGGAAGTAGACAAAGACATTTTCAAGCTGTTGGGCCTTGATCTGGAATGAACTGAACTCATGCTCCTGTAAGATTAAGCTACAAATGCAGGGAAAAAATATTTTTCTACTCTCTTTTGCAATCAGATATCGAAGGCTGCCATCTTGTTTTATCTACTTACCTGGAAATAAGCCCTACTGTACTCAAGGGGGCTTGCTTCTGAGTAGAAACATAAAGGATAACAGTATTAATCAGTTATATATTTTGGTCAACCTATAAAACCAAGGCAGCTTTATATTTTGTATGAAGACTGATGTTGGGTATCAGCCTCATGAACCCATCATCCGGTATTCACAATATTCAGCTTCTATAGTATCCTTTCCAGACCCCAATAGCTCTGATTCACTGCATATACATAAATGAAACCAAACAGAAATATGTTGTTTTCTTATAAAAAATTTTATATAAAAAAAGAAATACATTGTTTTCTTTTTTATTGTCCTTTTCATGGTTTTTGAAAAAATGCACGTGTGCATGAGAACCAGAATGGTGTCTCTTTCTCGTCTACCTCAGTGATGGAAACTCACTGGGTGACTCACTTATTTTCTTTCAGCCCAGCCTATCTCGGAGTTGTTGTGAGAAAAAATAGGCCTTGTACTGCACTTAGATATAAGCATGTACCAACTTTTTAAAAAAGATATGTTTCTGTATATCTCTTCATATGTATATATGGAAGGCTGCAACAATTATCTTACCTCATACTCAAAGTCCTCAGTTCTGTCTACTTCAGCAGGCAGGTTGGATAGATATTCACTACTTTCATAAAATTCATGCTCAACTGGATGAAGAGAATGGCAGCTATGTGGAACAAAATAGCAGAAAAATAGGTTAGGCACAATAGCATATTTTCAAAACCAGTGAATAAACTATTTTATCATATTTGGAGCAACCTGAATGAATGCAGCCACAATGACATGAATGAAGCACCACCTCCTTTTACATACCACACACCTAAAAAGGGGAGGGGCTTCAATTGTACATAATCACAGCCACCATCTTGAACAAAAATGGGAGACTAAATTTCAGTATTCCTTCAAATATGGAGCAGACCAAACAATTTTGGGCAAATTGTATTTTAAAATAATTATACACAGTGTGCGGAAAGTATTTGGCTACGGATTGAAGGAATACTATGAGAATGTGTTGACTTCTCTGGCTTGTATTAGGTATTGGTGAAAAGTTTTGATTTAGGTCTTTTTGACTTGCACACTATTTCGTGAATAAAAAGTAGTTAGGAGCATCATTTGGGCAAATAGTTGGCAGGATGGTATGGACATTCAGAACAAGATGAAAGTGTTAGTTTGTTCCTCCATTTATCTTTTTGGGCAAAAATAGGACTTTTCATACTTCTTCCTGTAAGGCTGCAAAGCTAAAGGGTATACTGGATGCGAATGAAAAAAAAGCACATACAAGATAAAGTGGATGTATCTTTCTTGGCACTTAAAAATGATGCCTAGAAGAGAAGAAAAGATAATCATTCATGCTATGGAGGAAGATTCACTAAGAAAAAAACTAAAGGGGAAGAAACAGTTTATTCTCTTCAGTTTGGTACAGATAATCACATTAAAAGAGAAAAAATTAAAAAATTAATTAATTGGGATACATACTGTACATACACGCATACACATACATACACGCATACATCTTTCTTTGTAAAATTAATGAAACCGATAAATTCAGATGGGTAATTGCAGAAGTAACTAATAGTGTAGGCATCTGAACAGAGAAAATGCTTGTGTTGTTACAACTATATATTTTCCACATAATTATAACCTTCATACTTATGCGGAAAAACTAGGAACTTCCAGCACTGCATAAGAACATAAGAAGGGTGGATCAGACAAAAGATTCATTTAATCTTACAATCTGTTTCTCATAAAAACTAACCCCATACCTTGTAGTATGAAGGGAGAAACACCCTTCCACAACTATCCCTCACCATATTTAGAAACATAGCATCTCTTCAATATCCATCCTCCTCCATCTTTGTCTAATCTTTCTTAAGGAGGATTTCAAGATATCAGAATAACTTTTTCTTAAACAGGGCTGGCAACTTCCTTATGGACCTGCTAGTTTGCCCTATGTGTCAGCTGAGAATTCCAAAACTGCGAAGACTCATGGGTCCAAGGTAGAACAAATACTTTATTTTCCTGGGTTCTAGTTCCTATCATTTCTGGGTAATGCTGGGCAAAATCTTATCTGAAACTTTGAAGAGTTACAGCCAGGCAGTTATGAAAAACTAGGTTAGATGCATGAATTGCTTTATGCAGTATAAAACAGAGTCTTATGTCCTTATAAATTGGTGGTAATAAGGATTTCTTGCACAGTTTGATAGCTAAATATTATTCCATACCTGTCAGAAAGCAGAAAGGGACAGACATCAGGTACTGGAGGTGTTGATGGCCTTAACTTGGCCAGAGCCATAATGTGTTCAAACGTAATATCTGTCTGAGTGCTAGCATCCATCAGCTGAACATCCTGTGTGCTCCCATGTGTTTTAATAAGAGGTGCTCGTCGTAGAACCTGGACTACTATGGGCTCCTTTGCATTACAAAAAGCCTCCACTGCCTCTTCATGAGTAGCTTTGGAGAGATCTTTCCCGTTGACCTAAGCAAAACAAAGGTTCCATAAATTAGTGTGTGTGTATGAAATACAACGTTGTGATAATCATGATTTCATAATTTGTATTAATACCATACAGTTAGAAACTAGGAGTAGATTTAAATATTTGGATAACTAAAAAGTAAAATATGTTACACCCGATGAACATAGTGTCACGTACATATTCATCACCTAACAGTGATGAATATAGTGTCACGCAATCAATGTTATCTTCCATTTTCCAAAAGAAAAAATATGATCAGATGGTCCCATAGTCTTAAAATATTCAAAATGAAACGATCCATATCTGTACTTAACTATTGTATTACTCTTGGGCAATACTGAATGAGACATGAAGCTGAAAAAAACTGATGCAAATCTTTTTTATAATCTCATTGTTCCCTGTTATTCATAGCCCACTTTGTATCTGATGCTGAGGATAATGTTGTGTTAAATAAAGGCCCCATTGGTTATCAACAGAACAAGGCTCTGTTTCTTGCCTCTGAAATGAATTACTAATGTGATACCTTGAATCAGGCCTACTAAGCCTTTAAGTCTATATTACTATAGGGACTGTAAATACACTCACTAAAAGTGAAAAGAGAGATTTAAAAGAAGATCTAGCATACAATCACTTTGCAGACATAGCCAAATTAGTCTCAGCTATCAGCATGTAAAATGGGCATAATACAGTCAATTTGAATGCATGAAAATTGATTTAAAATATAACTATATTTTAGGTATTTGCTTGTTTATTTTATCTTGCTCTTCTTTAAAAAGCTCTCTATGTGGCTACTGAAAATATCAATAACTATTTCTTAAACAATCTGAACTTTCTCATTACAGAATATAGCAGGAGATCCCTAACTAGCTGCCCTATAGAACACAGAAGGTCTAATGCCCACTTGCTAAGACTCAGCTAATTTCTTAAGGTAGGAATTCCCCATAAGTTCTACTGTTTCAATCAGAATAATATGACTATACAAGAAAATTATTTCATTTCACAGTACATGTCAAATTCTCACTGAACTTTTTTCCCCAAATTAAAAATAAAAATCATGACCTTTAGAGTTCTTTCATCCTCATGTGATTTCCTTGTAAAATATAAAGCACTTAGGACACAACCCTTCTTCTCTTAATCATCACTTGAAGTTCATCAACACAGTTAGCTATTCTGTGTAAAGGTCACACATTTTATAAATCCTGTACAATCCAACAGAAAAGCTACACAGCTTAACTGTAATTCAATGACAGCTAAGTGAGTTAACTTTTCATTAAATACTATTTTAAAAATTAAGAATTAGAATCTTGGTTTTCATAGCTTCATGGCCGCTAATAGTGAAGAAGAACTGTCACTCACTTTTAGACTATACTCTGAACAATGCAGTTCAAACATACCTATTCACCTACTAGATTAGATAGGTAAAAGGCAGATATAAGTGTGATCGACCAGCCTAATATTCTAGAGGTATTGGCTTCTGCCGTTGCTCCCTTCGATTTCAGAAAAGAGATTGGAATACATGTGCTGGAACAGATGGGATAATTAATCCATAAGCAACTTGTGAATGTTAAGTGAAGAACATATTTCTTCGCATAGAGACCATATCACTGCCTTGTTTAATAATGCTTCTGTTTAATGAACTCTCTTTGCCTCTTGGATAAACTGTGAAGCCTAGACCACTTGTTAAAAAGTTCCCCAGAGTGGCTGGTGACTGCCATTTGGAAGACTGCCACCCCTCTCTGATTAACTCCCTAAATCCAGCCACAGGCACATATTCATCAATACAAAAAATCACAAGAAAACAGCTTTTTTTGTCATTAATGCACAAACATCCACATGCTAGTTTAAACAACCAACTGACATTGGCAGACTGCCATTTTCAAAGACAGGCCTACACTACACAATGGCTTTGCCAAACACAAATCAGATTTGTGAAATGAAACACAGGGAAGGAAGGAAGGCAAGATTGTAAACTATATAATCAATAGCAAATACCTATACAAGGTTGTCTCCATGGCTATGATCAGACCCACAATAGACTCACCACACACATTTTCTTGTTTTGGTTTGTATATGTTTGTTGAATCTAATCTTAACCTTTGGTTATTACTGATTTCGGTTATTCCTGGGAAAAATGAACTGCCTTTACAGATGTTAAGTTTTATCAATAAGAATTAAATAGACAAAGAACTATGCTTACAAAATGTACATGATCAAGTATCACATTATTAAGTTACATGAGAGAGAGAGAGCTTTGATGATTACAGTCATTCATATAAATTCACCTTTGAAAATGCAGCCATACTCCATTCAGGGATAATGTTATATTTTTGGCATTGAGTTTTATTAGGGACTATGTCTGGAAATAATCAAAGTGCCTTGGATTATTATCAGTGCTATACTTGAAGGAAATCTCAGAATATGCATGTTACATATAAACGGGGTTAATTAATTAATTATTGTCGTTGGTGGCTTTAAAATCAACAGTGAGAAAAAGGAGAGATCAAGCACTCAGAAAACTCCCTAATTCCTCTCCAAGGTGCCGTTTCAAAATATCCACCATACAATGAAAGATACTCAGTCCGATGATCATGCTGTCACAAAACAAAATGAACTACTGGGAATCTGGAATATATTTAGTCGGCATATACGACGTCCAGATGATAATCCAAATGTGAGGCTTTCCCAGATGGTGACTTAATGAGTCTGGAGTGCATTTAATATGCAAATTGCTTGTTATATTGACCAACTGATTTTTAATTACTGTAATTCTGCCTGATGGTGATATATATTCACCTAGTTGTAATACACATAAAATACATGAAGTCATCATTTAACCTAATTGGAATTTCTCAGTTAATTATTACAAACTTTAAAAATGTTTATTTTGCTTGGCAAATCACTCACCTGCATATTGTAGGTGAAGTACTGAAATCTATTATGTACAGCATTTTTTTTTCTAGATAATGAAAAAAAAAATCCAGTGACTTTGAGTGACACTTGTATTATAATAGTTCATCTCTTTTATCCTATACAGATATTTTAATGTTTTAATGTAAGGGAAGCAATAATAAAATAGCTAAAGGTATTCTGAGGTAGATATTTTCCGCTCAATAAATGGCTCAGATTTCTACTTCCATATTATTTACAGTTCCCCCTCCCTTTCTTCAAAAACATTTCTTTAAAAAATAAAAAAGATCCAAACAAGGCACCCAGCAACAACTAGGAGAGAGGAATAAATGGGCCACTTATCACTGTCATAACAACTCATCCTCTACCAATGCTTGACACTCCAGGTCTTCTCTGAACTGAGCAGTTTAAAAAGATAGATGGTTGCCTTCTGGCTAATTGTGGGAGTTCTTTCATTACTACAAAAAGTCTTTTTATATCTTGTGACTTTATAAGCAGTGAATAATGAGACTTAAAATCTTTCAAAAAAGCATCCACTGATCAAATGGTACAGTAACTTATGGATAGGGTGACCTTTCTACTTGTCGAGTTACTTCAAACTGCTGCTGTTGGCACATTATTTAAATTAGCCATTTAGAGAGCGTAGCTAGGCATGAGACAGATTCTTCTCTTCCCCTCACCCCGTCCTTTCTCTATTAAGAAAAATACCTATCCAAACTGAAAATTTAGAAGCAATCAAGCACAGCAACAGATACACACTCTCCATGTTGCTGATGCGATATGACATCAAAAAGGCAAAAACATTGCCAGCAGCTAGGCAAGATGACTTGGCACCAAGATTAGCTCTGTCTGCCAGTTCTGGACATCTAACCCTAAGAGACGGTGCTTTCCTAGCTATGGGCATATCCATGTCTGGTGAAAGGGTTGTCATGTTCAGCGAGGCTCCTGAAGCAGACGCTGCACCTGTCAGTGCTGTGAATGTTCCCCTTGGCCATGTTAGAATCAGAAGAGTAACAGCATGAATTCCCCCAGACAAAGCAACACAAAAATATGCAAAAGAACATCTAAAGCGATAATTATGACCTAATAGCGGGAAGTCTTGGTTGTGAGTCAGAAAGTCACTGTCTGAAATTTCATGTTAGCCAAGAATTAACTGAGTGGCTTTATCTTCTAGAAAAAATAGTTGTATTAATGTATTGCATCAAAAAAAAAAAAAAAGATTTTGTGGCATATTAAATCATTGCAAATGTTATTATGACATAGGGATCGAATAGCAGGCTCCACTTCATCAGTTTATTTCATTTCTTATATCCAATATAGATATAAAGTTAATGGCCAAGTTACAGAATCAGATAAGCAATATTACATCTAAGGAATGTTTCCAATGTTGCTTTCAAGAAGTCATTTATTAGGGTTTATACCGTAGAACCTACATTTCATTTCCATTTGGCCTCATCATTAACTGTCCTTCCTCTTTAAACTATGGGTTTGTTTGTATAAACGCGTATCATAGAATAATACTCTACACATCTGTTATAGATATTATATAAAGAGAGTATATCGCACATTATATAATATATTATTATATTATATTTTTTGTATTGTATCATCATATCATATCATATTTAGTACATGCAATTTTCTTGGCAACATTTTTGAAAGTAGTTTGCCCTTGTCTTCTTCCTAGGGGTGAGAGAGTGACTGGCCCAGAGTCACCTAGCTGGCTTCTGTGCCTAAGACAGGACTGGGACACCCTTAACCACTAAACCAAACTGTCTGTCTGTCTGTCTGTCTCTATATACACATGCACATGCCCATATGCCCACAAACACACAAACACACACACACAAACCTATCATGTTATTTCCCTTCAAGTTAAGCAATGTTATGCATAGTGCAGAAAAGGGGTAAGAAACAGTACACAAAGAAATTAAAGGCATAAATAAGAAAAAGGAAAGGAAAAGTGGCTAAAAGTAGCTTACACCAACATCATTTGCTATTGTGATGGCTGGTGTGGGTCTTCCGGGCTGTGTGGCCGTGTTCTGGAAGTTTTGTTTCCTAACGTTTAGCCAGCATCTGTGACCGGCCTCCTTCCCAAGCCGAAGGGAAACACAACAGCGGGGGTTCCTTCTTTTGTTCCCCCACCGCAACGGCAATACGCCTCTGCCTGCTTTCCTTCTCCTG